GACTTTATTGAACTGATTCCTATTATTCTTGAGATTCACCCATCTGTTTATACTGTAATCATTCATACTGGTATGAATGATGTAATGTCCAGACAGTCCCAAAAACTCCAATATGAGCTTGAATCATTGGCCACTACAGTAGAGAGTCTGGGGAAACAGTGTAATCTGTCCGGTCCTATTCCCTCCATGACTAGAAGCGCTGAACTAGAGGATGACACAGGAGTGGATTTTCACTCCTGTCCTGTCCTGGTCCCACAGAAAAAATCCTGTCCTGTCCCAATCCTGGTCCAGAGTAAAAAAATGAATCCTGTCCTGTCCCACTCCTGGTAACATGACTCCTGTTCCTGTTCAGAATCACTCCCACTCCTGTCCTGCTCCTGTTTTTCATTGAATTTTTAGGAAATACATTGAATTTGATTTGATCTTCTACCCATTCCTGTTTAAATTAGTTTGTGTTGTGCAGTTTTATTTCAAAAGATATGGCAACAGGAACAGTTCATCTGTGGTGAAATAGAGACATTTATTTCCTTAATCCAAACTAAAACCTTCTCTAAATGTCATAAAACAAATAATCCATGGCCTGTAGTCCATATAATGTTTCTACGGAGGATCAGCTGCTGAGTCTGTTTCTGGCTCTTTTGAAGGTCAGTTCCAGTAAAAACAAAAAATCTAAACCAGTCCATGGGTCACACCATGTCTACCTTAGATGAAAGAACCCAAACACAACAAGTTGCATTTTACTAATTTATTGAGCAGTTGTTTCCTTTAAACAGTGACATCACTGTCATGTTTAAAATTGTTTAAACAACCAAACAGACAAAGAAAAATAATGTACCAAGCAGAGAACTCTACAAATAAAATGTTTAAAGGCATTATTATACACTGGACGACATCCTCCAGAAGTTCAGTGTATGTGGTCGAGGTAACGAGCTCGTTTGGGTGAAGCATGATGTCGTGCATCTTCCCAGACTTCAGAGCATCATTTACAGACTGGACCATTGCAGGTCTGGTGTTCCACCTCATCTCTCCACAGCTGGACCAGTCCAGAGCCTTGTGGAACCTAAAAGTGACAGAAGACGTGCACGAGTCAAAATACGGTCACAGTGACTACAAGTTACAATCTGTTGGCCTTTCTTTTGGAAAAAATATTTTATCAAAAACAAGAGATTTACAACTGAAACTAAGTCAAGAAAATGTGACATTTGCAAATATAAATTACAGAAGCTCAATTTTTCTTTATTTCACTTATCATATTTTATAATTATTTAATGAGCCTCACAGGCAGAGATTACAAGATGTTATGTATCTTACCTGCTCTGTTGAAGTGTGTGACAAGGGTCTTTGGGTCCAAAGCTGTTTAACAGTTTGCTTCCAGAGCTAACAGCTTCCTGTGTTAGGTAGAAAAATTAAATTAAATTAAAGACTAACAATAAACTTAGTGCTACTTCTTGTGCCATGCTTTATAAAACAGTTACTGAATCAAGGATTTACTTATGTAGGTAAACATAGATGTTTTAAAACCTGTTAAAATACACCAGAATGCTGGAAATAGCTGCTACTTTATTTAAAAAGTTATGGGGGAGGACCCACACACCTCGCACCAATATGTCCCCCTACAATAACAGTTATTATAATATATGTGTAACCAGCCTTTCTTATAAAAACGGGGATATTTTTACCGGAGAATGCGTGCATTTGAGTTTATTTACAGACGGTAAACAGCAGCTCCTCACAGCTGAGACTAAAGTTTAAAGCAGCACCGCACCAACACAACTCTCGTGAAGTTCAGGGTTATTTGACCCTTTCCTGCCTGTTCTGTGAGTTCAATAGACAGACAGTTACTTCTTACCTTGTGTTGCAAACTATTTTCAGACTCAGTACCACTTCGCTCGCTGCTCCTCCCATCCTCTCGGTGAAAAACTACGGCTCGAACACTTGACTCCTGGGAAATGTAGTCCTTTTGACTTGTGTTAAAGTGAAGGCTTACTGAAAGAAAACTAGAAAATAGCTGTGCCCGTGGTTTTTTTTTTTGTTTCATTTTCATTTTCATTTTTGGTTATTGGTCGGTTCCCGCTCCTGTCTGCTCCCGTTAGCTTTCAGTCCGGTCACGTCCCGGTCACGTGAGTTATAACGAGGTTGACTCAGGTCCCGCCAGAATCCGGCCGGAATCACGTGACCGGCGGTACTCCCGAAAAAATGTCATCCTCTAGTGTTCGATCCATCAGGTGGGCATGTAGACGTGCTGAGCGGAAATACAAATCTCACCATTTGAGCTGCGACTTTTTTACTATGAAAAATCTTTTGAAAGATTATAACAGAGTGGTTAAAGAAGAAAGATCTAAATATTTCTCAACCCTCATTGCTTCAAATTTACATAATCCAAAACTTTTATTCAACACTATAAACTCTTTAATTTACAAATCACCTTTTACTAATGAATTCTCTTCTGAGAAATGTGAGTTGTTTTGTTCATTTTTTATTAATAAAATCACTATTATCGGAGCTCAAATTGTGCCATCTGCCTCTACTGTTCAGCACGAGGAAGTAAATCACTTTCAGTTCATTTAGCCTCTTATCTCAGGCTGAGTTAGTAAGGACTATCAAATGTATGAAACCTTCCTCTTCTTTTTTAGATGTTTTACCAACAACATTTAAAAAAAAAAAGGTCACTTTTTAATTCCTGATATTCTAATAGTTTTTAACAAATCATTATCTACAGGGGTAGTTCCCAAAATGTTTAAAACTGCTGCTGTTGAACCATTATTGAAGAAACCCAACCTGGATTGTAACGATCTTAACAACTTTAGGCCGATCTCTAAATTACCCTTTACTGTGAAAATTTTAGAGAAAGTGGCGTACTCTCAGATTTTAACTTATTTAAACAAAAACTCACTTTTTGAAAAGTTTCAGTCTGGTTTTCGTCAGTAACACAGTACAGAAACTGCATTATTAAAAGTTGTGAATGATATTAGGATGAACTCAGATGCTGGCTGTTGTACTGTCTTAGTGCTTCTCGATGTTTCTGCTGCGTTTGATACAGTAGATCATAATGTTCTACTGAGCCGACTAAATTATTGGCTAGATGTTAGAGACATTGATTTGAGGTGGTTCAAATCTTATCTTCATGACAGAACTTTTTCAGTAATTTCTGGCAATAATTCCTCCAGTTCAGCTTCTCTCACCTGTGGTGTCCCCCAAGGGTCAATTCTTGGGCAACTATTATTTTCTATTTATATGCTACCACTTGGTCAGGTTATTCATAAATTCATTGTTTCTTTTCATTTTTATGCAGACGATTCCCAGATTTATTTGACTATTAACCCATCTGACCTCTCCACACTCAAACTTTATCTCTGCCTTACAGACATCAAAAACCTGGATGTCTGATAATTTTCTTTCACTCAACAATGATAAAACTGAGGTGATGGTTTTTGGCCCCAAGTCCAAAAGGGATTTAGTAGTTCAGTCCCTTTCTGTTCTTGATTTTAACTGCACTTGTGAAGCCAAAAATTTGGGGGTAACCTTTGATTCTGATCTTGGTTTTTCTAAACATTTTAAGAATATCACTAAAACAGCATTTTTTCAAATTAAGAATATTGCCAAAAATCAGAGCATTTATCTCTTTAACTGATGCAGAAACTCTTATTCATGCCTTTGACTCTTGTCCCTATTGATTATTGTAATTCTTTATTTTCTGGTCTGCCCCAAAGTTCTCTGTATCACCTTCAACTAGAACAAACACTGCAGCTAGAGTTCTCACAAGATCCCATACATATCAGCACATCACTCCAGTTCTGTCCTCGTTGCATTGGCTCCCTGTGCTTTTTAGAATTGATTTTAAAATGTTATCGTTTGTTTTTAAATCCCTGAACGGTCTTGCACCATCGTATCTATCTGAGCTTCTTGCCCCCTGCATCCCCTCTTGCAATCTCAGAACCTTAAATCTGTTCTTACTTTCCACTCCCAGAACTCGACTGGTGACAAAAGGAGGTTTTATGGTCAGGGCTCCTCATTTGTGGAATGCTCTTCCTTTAATTATTAGACAGGCCTCTTCATTGTCTT